TGTTTGTGTGAACTGAGTAGAGACGTTGATATTCATCAATGTTCGTGATCACAACATCAAAGTTCTGAATCATCACAAGAGGTAATGATTTATATCACTGACCATGCCGATTCGTAAGGATCACTAAAGGAAAATTTTAATTTTCCGTTGCGTTTTGGATCGCGATTTTCTTTCAGGTATAGCATAGGATTTTGGTTATTCTTTAGAATTAGGAAACACTTATTTACACCTTAGGTTTGAGTTATTCATATATTGAAGGTTGAAGAGGTTGAGAAACACTTGAATAGAAAATATGATTGTTTTTGAGCGCTTTCAAGGTTGTTCTTTGGAACCTGAAGGCGAATGCTATTTTCTTGTAACTCATCTATAATCTCTTATAATAAATTTCTGAGTATAGTGAATTGGAGAGTTGCTCTCTCCTACATAATAGATCGTTTGATCAAACTGGATAAAGAAATCTTCGTCTTTTCTCGCCTTATTCTATTATATGTTACGTGTACGGATTATTATTGCTATAGACCATTTATTTTGGTTGCTACTATTTTTTATCTCACAAATTAATATTGAATTTTGTCGTAATTCACAATATAAAAATTCAAACAGCAAAATATAAAGTGAAGAGAAAAACTGTAAAGTTTTAGTATAAGTATCTAAAAGTCTCTACTTATAGTGAAAAATCTATATTTGGCTCATGAACCAATAAATCCGAGAATTTGATTGTAATGGAAGCAGGTAATTAGACGAAAAAACATGGGAGAGGATTTGATAGTGGGAGCTCAGTCAAATCTGATTATTCAATGTCATAACTTGCTGAGTCAAAGCTAACCGTAACAATGCTTGATCAGGGGTAATAGTTTGGGATGACATATCGATTTTGGTTTTGGTTTTTCTTTTAAAAAATAAAGTTTTAAATGACAAAAAAAATAATGGTGATGATCATACTAACAAGTTCATCACATCAAAATTGAATAAGCAACTTGTTATAGATAAAGACATTTAAACCTAAAAGTACAAGTGGTAGGGCTGTTTGAAAACAAAAGTACAAAGTATGATTGAGTTGTAAATCTGATTGTTGATAAACTAAATAACAATGCAAAGGTAAAGTTGAATGAGCTTGTGGAAGTAAAGTTTGCGATCTTTTAGTTTGATTCAAAACTTATAAGATAGAAGTTTGTTTAGTAAGGCACAGAGATTTTGAGGAACATAATTAATATTACGTGAATCGTTAATAGATAAGTTAGGCTTCTGATTGTGTAAATTAGGATTATTTTTTAAACACAAAAACATCTTCATCAAACTTAACATGTCTAAAATGTAAATACTACAAGATTTTGATAAGAAAATTTACCCTTTATGATTAGGGTTGTACCCTAAGAAGACACGTTGTTCAAATTTAAAATCAAATTTATGCTTATTATATGCTTATTAAAATCAAAAACTTTGTGAGTTGGTTTTCACCTCGCCTAGCATGACATCTATCATTATCTAAGTTGTTTGCATTATTAAAATGAGTAGTTTAAAATTAGCATTTGCATTGGTAGCAGGAGTTTCCAACTTAAGCATATCAAAGGCATATAATCCATTACTAATCTTGCATGCAAGAAGAATTTCCTTGCTGGCATGATATTTAACAAGACAATTATTCACATTCAAAATTAAAAGGAAACATCATTATCTTTTGCAAACTTAGAAACACTTAACATGTTTTTAGAAATATTAGGAGCATGCATGATATTATGTAAAATAAGAGGTTTTAAAGAGTGTTGAGTGTTAAATAAAGTGTTACTAATATGAAGGATATGGACTAAGTTACTATAAGCCATTTTAATCCTTTGATATGTATGATAAGAGTTTTTAATTAAGATATTTGAAGCATCATGGGTAATGAGGTTTGAAGATGCTGAGTTAGGATTATTGGGTGAGAATATGGATACAAAGAGGTCTAGAAGGGGGATGGGGGAAGTTGAATAGATCCTTTCCATTTAAGAGAATTTAAAAAAAAAAATTAGGTCCCATATACAAAATTAAAGATTTTAAGAAGTGCGGAAGCAAAACACAAAAAAAGAGAGCTTGAAATAATCTCAATTAAATAAGCCAAATAAAATGATACATAATATTATAAGTACTTGATTGCTTCTAATGCAAGCCAATCACAAGATAATCAAAGCAGCTTTAAACAAAGATATTTCTAAACTCTTTACATAGATGTTTTATCAAGAAATAATTGGATTCATGATACTTAAATAATATTGACACACCACACACCTAAGCTTATACATTACATCTTTATAAGCAAAGTCTAACTAATGCAATAGAAAAAATTAATGAATACTAGAAAATTAAAAAGGATAAGGGAAGAATAATAAATACACAAAGATAAATAGTGGTTTGGTGTTCGTCCTCACTTTTCCTACTAAACTCTTCAATAATGTTTAAAACTATTGGAAAATAATCACGATCTTCCACTATTTTGGTAAGTTTGATTACAAGCATTTTGGTTACAACGAACTATCAAATGATAATTTCCTATGTTGATGCAGACACTCGACTGCTAATAAAAATAAGATCTCTAAAAGATCTTGATCCAATAAACTTGTTATCCACAATAACTTGCTCCAAGTATTTGTATATGGTAATCCACTAGATCCCACTGATCACTTGTTTGAGCGATTTTCATTAGCTAAGTGTTGATTGGGCAACTTTCAACTTTATCTGAGAGTAATATTTCTCCAACTCCATAAAAAATGGACAACTTCCATCTTTTCCTTAAGGACAAGTGATATTTGATCTCACCAAAGTCTTTCTTGGAGTATAATGAAACTCTCTTCTTGATGAATAACAACAAATGTCAAACTGCATTCAAGAAATGATATTTGCACCTATAACAAACAACAAACTTCGCACAAAAACATTAGATACCATAATGTAGCACTAGTCTCCCTCAAAACTTAATATTTTTTAGATGAAGGTCCTCAACGATGGAAAAAGATTAAGGATGAAGGCGAATAACAATGCCAGAATATCTCACAATCACTCTAAAAGCACAACGTGTTAGTCAATGGTTTATATGAATGTGAATAAAGAACACACACAAGGTTCTCTTAAATTTATAGGTAAATGGTCTTGGCTTTGATTGTTATCAAGAGGTTGATTAATCATGAACAACACAATAAGATTAATCAACTTCGTCTCTCTAACTCACTCAACACAACAACAAATTACATAAGAACAAGATGCAACAAAAAAAGATAATGAATCTAACATGAATTCATAATCAAGAATTTGATCTAGAGAAGAAGACAAACATTCACGGTGATGGGTATAAACACACTAAGAAGAGAAGACAAAAGCACTCTTTTTATCTCTGGGTTTCACCCATATGTTTTACTCACTTGTTGCTTTCACCAAAGAAACAAATACATAAATCAAGGATGGAAATTGTCTCTTGTGAATCTATAATTTAGATCAAGTAGGAACCGTGATTCAAATCAATTTAAGTAGAGCCCAAATATAGCTTCATGGAAATAGTTGATTCAAATCAATTATTACACTTGATTCGGATCACATGAGGTTGTGATTTGAATCATGTTTGTTTTGTGATTCGAATCATGTTTGTTTTGTGATTCGAATCAAATGGTCTAGAGATAATTCCCAATTTTCACATAACTTATAATTTGAATAATGTTTTACATCTGATTCGAATCAAACAACCAAAAATCCATATTTAAGAATTCTAACTTATGATTCAAGCTACACCTGATGAAATGACAAAGTAACAACTAGTTAGGTTAAAAAAGAAATGTTATCAAGGATAAAAAACTCTTAATATAATGATAAAGGAGGTTTCTTAATGATACAACAATACAATATCCTAAGCGGTTACATATGAAATACGAATAGAATACAATCACACAATTATAAAATCAATATACAAATACGAAAGTAGTAATACAACTATATCAAATTAACAAAAACATCAAAGAAAATAAGCGATACCATATGATACTGTGACTGCACTTTCAGTCTCCCAGTTTTTTATGTTTGGAAAATTTGAGAAATTATTTTTGATTAATTATTCAAGGCTTTATTTGGAATTTAATGGATGAAATAAATCTGGTGAACCGGTGAACATTGCTTCGCTTAAGTTGTAGAAGTTATAAAGTTCCCCATGCATTAAACACTTAATGTGCATGAATATTGATTATATCTTGATACCTTCTCCCCTTTGTCAAATATTAAAAAGAGAGAAACGATTGATAGAAATAGAACGCAACCAACTCAATCCAAGATAGAATAAAAACCAAAAATAGAATGTCAGACTTGGTGAACAAAATAAGCACCAAATAAATCTCATACAAAACTAATTATCACAAATACGTAATTTAGGAAAGATATCAAGAAATAAATGACATATAGATAATCATAGAGATATCATACATATGTAATTAAAAGATTAGTCACATGATACATAACCCAAAATATAGTCAAAGATAACAAAATAGACAACCAACCAGTCAACCAAAATGACATAAATATCCAGTTAATGCTAATACTATGCAAAAAAAAATCATGGAATGCTAGCTTCATCCTCAGAAGGTGGTACAACAACAACAATGTCATATGGAACATGAATAGTGGGGTAAGTATCGAGATCAGAAGGACCAATATCAAGGATAACATTAGTTCTACCCAAGTGGTCAATAGAATCTCTAACATACTCCACTTAAGCAATCACACGAGCTTTAGAAGCTTGAATCTCAACCTTCAGCTCAACCTTTAAGTCACTCTTCAACTTTACCCAACTTTCTTCACTTTCCATAGCCATAGATTCAATACGTGCCATGATCCACTTTTCTCTAATCTGGTTGTCATCTAAGAGATTTCTAACCATCTCATTATAATAGGATTTAAAATCATCAGTTAGCAAACCAGAAGAGAGATCTAATAGGCTCATCAGAAGGATCCTTAACCGGTTCCACAACCTTGTCGTCATAAACTTTTCATCCAGATTCCTCAAGGTAGTAGTAGTCACCAGCAGAGTCCATGTAATACCTTAGTTTAGAAACACCACAACAATCCAAAATTTTTAAAGCCTCGGTCAAATCTTCTTCTTTGGAAACTATCACATTGACATCAAGGATTAGCTGCACAAAAGAAGAGAAAAACAAAGGTCTCATCGGGTTATCCCTGCAATGAACCATCCTGTCGATAATGAACATAACCCAATTAAGTCCACTATATGTAATGAGAGCCCACATCAAATAGAGATAATTATCATCAGCTCATCCCTAATTCTTCAGTTTCTTGTAAAGTATTTTAACAATAATCCAGTGTAACAGGCACATATCAAGCTTGACTTGACTGATGCAAAAGTTTGACATAGTAGGACTTTCACAAAAAAATTTGAGATGGAGAGAACAAAAAAAATTATTCATAACCAAATGATCTTGAAACATCCATATTAGAACCACCATGTGTAAGACCAGGATACTTAGTGAAATCCATGTAATTAAACCTAATAACCTTGTCCTTGAACCTATTTTCAATGCCACCAGAAGTTTGCACAAGATTATAGTATAAAACTTTAATATAATCAGAACTACACTTCTTGCTCAACCTAATAAATTTCAATAGATGATGACAAACAAAAGGTTTAAAAAAATCTCTTTATCTTCAACTTCAACAGAGGGATCAATGTAATACTAAGGATCAACCGATTTGTTCAGAACATTTTCTTGATAAATTTGCAAACTATCCTTAGGAAGAAGATGTTTTACCTTATGATACAAAGCTTCAACAACTTGAGTATTAGATGATTTTTTATTGATTCTTGCATCAGGTATTGCTTTTCTCACTTAAACTTTGTTCCTTGCTTTCTTATAAACCGATGGATAAGATGATGCCATGAGTCTCTTGCCTTGTTGCTTGTCAGATAAGCTCTTATGAGGGTTATGAGATGCCACTAACGAAGTTGGGATAATGGTTTGGGTAATAAAGTGGTGATTATGATGATTACTTAAGATGAGATAATGATATAAAGGTTTGATGAATTTATTTCAAGATAGTTTTGGATGCTTGAAATGGTAATGATGAGAAAATGAAATGAAAAACTGAACGAAATTCAAAACACGTGTGACCCTTCCGATGTGATTCAAATGATCTTTAAAAATTAATTTGAATCACATGTTCTATTTTTTAAAAGTAAAGCATATTGTAGCGGTAGAAATGTTTAAGACTAAGCCATTGGATTGACTAGACTTATACAGATCAAAAATAAAATCGCCACTGCGCTTTATTGTTTCCAAAGGAATGTGAAAAGAGCGAATAACTCAAAAAAGAGGGAAAGATTCAAGGTAAGGGGGTTGGTTATGCAAAGGGAAGGTTTTAGCACTCTAAACATCTACGGTACTCCACAGGAACCTCTTTGAAAAATCTGTATATTTTGGCTATAAAATGTTGTATGTAAAATAGATGGTGGAGGTGAGAAAAGAAATATATTTTTTATGATTTTTGCATCTGCCGCGGTTGCGAACCTTTAGTGCCTACGTACCACCTTCTGTGCAATAGGGGATCAGGGTACACGTAGTTCCTCTTTAAAAAAAATTAAAACACAAGTGTGTTGATTGATTTTATGAAATAAGACATCATCGTCATTATCTATGTGAAAAACATACTTACTACCCACAATCATGAGAAAGGAGAATTTGCATCATCTCAAAGTGGAGGATATGGCTTGGATTTTAAAATCAATAATGACTCGCTCAACACCCAAATGGAAAATATCTTTCTTCACTATATATTGTATAAGTATAGTTGTTTGCATCACTACAAGGATTGACAAGAGTCTAATCTTTTGAGAAAAGTTTAAAGTAAAAGCCAAAGTAGCAAAATGGTTTGAAATGAGATTGATTGACTTTTAATCTTCTCACAAAAAAAGAGGATGTCAAAGTATTATTAAATTGGTTGAAGTTTATTTATGAAAGGGTTTTTGAAAATGCATGGACCTAAGTCCAAGTTTATTATGAAAATGGTTCAAGTTTAAAAACAAGAAGAGTTTTCAAAAGGAGGAAAAAGATTTTTGAAATTAAAGAAGATGGGAGGAGAAAAAGAGACTATCCTAAAGCATAAGGTAAAGGCTAGGGATAAGAGCCATCTAACCAACAAGAAGCCAATACTTGACATTATGAGTCAAGATAGAATTCCCATTATTTGGATTGAAACCAAGCAAGTAAAGATACTAGACCTCTTGAGAGAACCAAACTTCAAGTGTATTAAGTCTTCACATAAATTGGGCAGAGTAACGACTGTATACGGGTAAATTCCAGATTATAAACAAAGTAGGTAATCATAATGACCTGCACATAAAACAAACAAACAACCCAATGTCTTGAGGTAAACCTCAAGAACTCTAGACAAAATATCAGTTAAGGTCACAAGGTCTCCAACATAGGCAAAGGTTTCTAATCCTAAGTCCAAGAAGCCAAATACTCCATAATGCCAAGGATAGTAACCAAATAGTCCAAGTATCATTAAAGCTTTTTATGGTTCATGTTGATTATTAGGTATCTTCAAAAAGAAAACAAAAGCTCAAGTGAGCAAAATAAAAATGATAAGAAAGTAAATACTCAAGTGAGCAAAGATGAAAATAGCATGAAATGTAAATGCTAAAAGTAAATGGTGCATAAAATAAAAGAGCATAAGATGAAAACACAAAATAAAGTCAATTATTAGTGGTTAGTTGGATGACCATCTTGAAACTTGCATTTGGAACTCATTAGAGGATTGGTAGAACCAAAGCCTCCACACAATAAGTTGCATTTGCTTTTTGTCAAGTATATCATCCATTTTGGAATCCTCAAAAGTACCATTTAATGATCAATGATGTTTAAGTGATCCGCGTTGACCAAAAGTGATGTAGATCCATTAGAGGATTGGTAGAACCAAAGCCTCCACACAATAAATCTCAAGGTTATTGGATCAAAGAGATCAAATTAACATACTTGGGCTTGCAAACATAGGTTTGGACCATGAATAATCATTTATTCGAATCAGGACAAAATTTAGCGCTATGTTAAGCAATCGTAAGTGGACTTATATAGAAGTCGCACCTATTTTGAGGTCGGTCAATAGCAATCTATGCACCATTTGTTTTGAGATATGATATAGAGATCATGCTCCAATAACACTTAGTGCAATAAGAAAGGGATAAGATGAAGAAGGGTGGGAAAGAATATACAAACCACTTCTGAATTAAAATTTAATCAAACTATTAATAAAATCATTCATCCATTTTTATGGAGTTAGACTCAACATCATGGATCCAATGATGTTAATAAAGTTTATGATAAAAAATTCAACCCAAGATCATCCAGAAAATAATCACAAAATAATATTACATTTAATATATACATTAAAAAAAGGTTTTAAAATGTTTTAAAACAGAAATAAGAGAGAAAAATATTAACTATGTTCAAATTAATCAAGAAATATTAAGTAAAACCATAGGAAAATCAGAAATGAATTCAAATATTTTTATAAAATTTTTTGGTAATTTTTTTAAAGTCAGAAACTATTTTTTAAATTGAAAGAAATGAGTAAAATAAACCAAAAATGATTAAAAAAAAATAACAAAGTCAGAAATAAAAAATAAATGAGGTCACCAATATTTGTCACAATATCATTGGATCATTCCATATATTTTTTTTCAGAATTTAAAAATACATAAAAGTATTTTTAAATATTTAAGACAATTCAAATAAAGTGAAAATTTATAAAAAATACTAAAACACAAAATAAAATTGAAAGAAAATAAAAATCAGAAAGAGAAAAATCAAAAATATTTTTCTTAATCTTTTCAGATTTTTTGGACTTAAAATGAATTTTCTATAGTTTTTTGAAGTTTAAAACAATTAAAATAAAAATCAGAAAATAAAATATCAAACGAAAAAATATGGGCCATGTGATCATTGTCAAAACACGTTAGTAAACAGATCAAGTGGACCTGGCGCGCTGTGCATATTATGGACTTTAGTGAATAAAACACTGGATCACTAATTAAATTAGAAATTCAAAAAGAACAAATGGCACGCCATCATTGGTTGGAAGATGACACGTTGGTCATCTTCAACCTTCAGTCAGTCCCAAACCAGGTCACTCAAACTGTAAAGTTAGAGCACGAGACCTATGCCATTCGCTTCGTCTCATCAAGACAAAGACAACCACACCTTCGCGACAAATTTATATAAACTGTAGCTCAAGAAATTTGGAAGGAAAGTTTTGAAAGGGAATTTCAAAATTCATGGTCAAAACGTGTTTCCAGTTAAAAGCAAGTGTTGCAACTAGAACCAGGGTAATAAGAGCTTCACAATGATATCAAAGTTTGGAAGATTGGTGAAGGAATCTACCTATTGAAGTTGAGATGCAGAGCTCTGAAACTGGACTTCTATAGATCAATATAGGTCACGATTCTTGAAGGTAATTGTATGGTTAGCTTCATGGAAGATCAAGGAAGGTGAATTGATAGAAAAAATGGATTGAAAAAGGCTTGAACACTGATTTCGAAGTTGCAAAAAAGTGAGTTATGGAATGAGTTTGGCAGGGTGATTTTGGCTATTCAAGCTTGAGGAAATGAATGAGGGATGACCCTCTATTTATAGGGAATCAAATGGAATGTTCAAGCGCTTGAAATGATGAAGTTTGGAGGGAAATCATGTGAAGTTGTAAACAAGAAAAGTGTGACTTCTATTTTGATCAAAACTCATCCAAAACGCATGTTTTGCTATGCTAATCACTTCTAGAAGTTCACTAAACATGTTTAGAAGCAAAAACTCCCAGAAAACATGTGTTTAGAAGCTAAATCAAGGATTTCAAATTCTGACTTGTGATGAAACTTCAGTTTCAAGTTATCAAATTCATATCAATGGCATTCTCAACTCAAGAGGTCTTAGGGCCTGATTCTTGAAGATTTAGAAAGATGAGGTTACAAGCTTTGCAATGGGAAAAGAATGGAATCAAATGGATGTTTGAGCTGAAATTTGCAAGGAGTCAAAGTTGGGAAAAAGAAGTTGACTTTCCATACATGGAAATATTTCAAGTTTTTCTTCAAAAGTGACCTATAATATTTTGCATCCAAACATGGCCTTCCACTTGGAATTTTCTCTTGACCAAAAAAGATGGCATGAAATAGACCTATTTAATGACATTTTGAGACTTGAACCAT